GTGTTCAAAGTATATACCACAGCCCCAGCTAAACAGTGATTCAGGTTCTGAAAAACAGAAAAATTACTGTCTTTGAATATGTGATATTTTTTGTTTACTTTGGAAATTTTGGTCATATGAGAAATTCAGAATTTGTTTCTTTTTATAAGCTTACTGCAGTACATGGCATTCAGTCAGCTTTTGATGAAGCTATGTCATATTGTCGATATCATCCTTCCAAAGGGTATTGGTGGCACTTCAAAGATCATGAAGAGCAAGGTAGGTAGGACACCCAGACCCTCCTAAAACATTTTTTGTTACTCTGAGAATGAAGATGTTTTCTTTTGGAAAATGGCTATTGATGATTTCTAGATGTGTTTTACTTCTCGATGGAAAAACTTCATAGGATGGTGACATTGTCAGAGCTATGATTCATATAACTAGATACGGTAATAGTAGCTTAGTACTATTAATAGTACTATTAATAGCCATAGAAACATACAAATTTTAATCTCTTTAGTAAGTGATAATCTTTGACAAGTTGATTCAAAGTTTTTAAATATTTCAAATATATAGGGGAAATCAGTGATGAGGAATAAGTAATGGTGATATTTCCTGCTTACCTAACTATTGAGTCATCTTGCAATCCAGAACCCAAATCTCCCGAAGCTTCCAGGTCGGGGAGATGCTCTTAAGGCCCCGTCTCCAGATGACCAGTCTGTTTTCTGATCTTTCCATGTTAATGCCTATCGTGATGCCAGGTCCTCTAGTTTTCATTGTTGCTAATCCACTACTTGTTCTGCACCATATTTTACCAACAGAAGTACTTCTAGAAATGTGTCTATAGCAGTATACCTATATTCTGCATTTCTTTCTAGAGAAATAGCAACTTAGAATGAATTGCTATGGAAAGGTAACCTTTAAATAAAATTGAGACCTGTGGAATGAATGGTCTTTGAGATACAGTTATATTTATTCTTTATGGTAGGTGCTGGTGACAACATTTGACTTAGGAATGTTTGCATCGGTTGAATAAACATCTCCTAAGAGATGTTTGCCCCTACCCTAATAAAGTGTTTGAAGTAAAACTTAACTGGAACCCTTCCTTCAGTGACGATTCACCAGTATACTCCCCTCCCAGGGAAAATTTCACACATGATAAACTTCAGAATTTCTCTTGCAAGTTCTTTTCTTTATTATCTTCAAGATCTTCTGTTGTTTGATTTGTCCTTTTTCAGTGAATTATAGTCTTCATAATTGAGTATGGTAACTTGAGTTTGTGAAAGTTGCATTTTCCATTTGTACCTATTAGGTTTGTGGGAAAAGATTGTTTAATACATTTAAAATATGCACAAGATAATGTCAAACCAGTAACCTAGATTGTAGCTTAGGTAATTATGGGAAAACTTTAGCCTTAAAATTCTTTTGTTTACCCATGTTTACATGGTAAAACTGAAATGTCTTTAAAAGATATATCAGCTTTTTAGAAGTTAGAATTTTAACTCCATTTCAGAGGAGTTAAAACACTTTTGTGTATGTGCTATGTTTAACATGTTCAGGGGATTATTTTTGGAATAGCAAGCATTAAAAATAATGAAGTTAGAATATATTCATGGCAGACAAAGATTGTAGAATATAAGGCACCAAACTACTTAGGCAGTGTTTTGATTTGGACTTCATATTTTAATAGATAAAGTCAAACCTAAAGTCAAAAGGAAAGAAGAACCAAGCTCTATTTTCCAGAGACAACGTGTGGATGCTTTACTCCTAGACCTTCGACAAAAATTTCCACCCAAATTTGTGCAGGTAATGAGAATACATGTGGCTAATTTTGATTTGACACTTTTCCCTGGCACATTTATTTTTAATTGAGAACTGTTTCAGATGTGACCTAAAAGTATTGATTTTCGTCATTAGTTAAAAAATGATCTCTGAATCAATGGGAAGTTTTTCAGAGACTTAATGGAAGAAGTGGGCAAAGGGAATGGAATTAGTACTGTTTTGTGCTCCTAAGTTTAATTCCTCATTGAATCTTTACGAACTATGAGGAATGCATATAGATAATTCTCATTCAAAAGGTTGCTGAAAAGTGTTGTAAATGGTAACAAAACTAGAATTTGAAATGCATGCTGTTTTTACTCTATGTACTGCCTTCCAGCCTGATATAGTGCATATTTAAGTCCTTAAATGATAAACTAGTTAAAACTTTTGTAACAAAAAGAACACTTGATGTGGAGGGTTTGGCATGATAGATGGAGGAGGCAGGCATAATAAAAAAATATTCTTATATCATACTGGTGTCTAAGTTATATGAATTTTACTGTTATTTTGGGTATTCCAACAGCAATAGTAAATGCATCTACTAAATTCTATTAAATGAGCTTTTGATTGAAGTAGGTGTGAGATGGAGTATGTGGGAATGCTGTTCTTGTGGTTAGTCTCAGTTCTTGTTTACCTTTATAGGGCTGTGTACACACAAGGTCATAGATACTGTTTTTCTTGTGGGGATTTTATTTAAGAGATTTTAAAGGATACTTTTAGATTAAATAAGATTTTTCACACCATGAGGTGATGTACTGTTGGAATGGTGATGTGGCAGTGAAGGGAGCAGAGGCCACAGCTGGAAATTAGGACAGAAGAGCCAGTTTAGAGAAATCTCATGAATTACACTTGGAAGATGAAACAGTGTCTGTTGAATAAATAAATAAATGAATAATAGCTGTGTGTAGGGTGATAAGTAGCCACTACACAGTATAAGGGGTTAGGGTGGTTGACCATTCATTCAGTGAGGACATAGTATATACTAGGGAGGTTGGGAACAGAACAGTTAGACCTGCATAGTACAGTAACCACTAGGCACATGTGACTGTTATGCATTTGAAACATAGCTAGTCCATACTGAGTTGTGATATGTGTGAAATACATACTGGGTTTAAAGACTTAGTACAAAAAAAAGTAAAATATCTCATTAATAACTTTAAACGTTAATTATGTGTCAAAATGATAGTATTTTAGATACATTTGGTTAAAAATAATAAAACCCATCTATTTCTTTCTGAAAATGTAACTACTGGAAAATTTAAAATTATATATATAGCTTGCATTTGTGGCTCACATTATATTTTGGATAGTTCAGATCTAGAAAATGGGAATGGAACATGTAATACCAGAAACATGAAAGATTATTAATGACCATATACTCAGAAACCAAGAAAATCCCTTAGTTTTTCTTCTTTTTCTAGAATCCTGATGTGTAAAGTTAGATTGTTTGAGATCCTTCCTCCTTTTTAATATAGGAATTTATTGCTATAAACGCCCCTCTTAGTACTTATTTTGCTGCATCCCATAAATCTTGGTATCTTGTGTTTTCATTTTCATTTCTCTCCACAAAATTTCTGATTTCCCTTTTGATTTCTTCTTCGGCCCGTTGGTTGTTCAGGAGTGTGCTGTTTAATTTCCACATATAAGTTAGCAGAAGCAGAGAAATTACAAAGATCAGAGTAAAAATAAATGAAATAGAGACAAAAAACAACAGAAAAAAACCAATGAAACTAAGAGTTGATGTTTTGAAAAGATAAACAAAATTGACAAACTTTTAGCTAGACTAACAAAGAAAAAGAGAGAAGACTCAAATAAGTACAATTAGAAATGAAAGAGGAGACATTACAACTGATGCCACAGAGCTAAAATGATCATAAGAAACTACTGTAAACAATTTATATGCCACAAATTGGATAATCTATAAGAAGTTCCTAGGAACATACAACCTACCAAGACTGAATCATGAAGAAACAGAAAATCTGAACAGACCAATAATGAGGAAGGATATTGAATCAGTAATCACAAACCTCCCATCAAAGAAAAGTCCAGGAACAGATGACTTCACAGGTGAATTCTACCAAACATTTAAGGAGAATTAATACCAGTCCTTCTCAAAATCTTCCAAAAAACTGAAGAGGAGGGAACACTTCCAAATTCATTTTATGAGGCCAACATTACTTTGATATCAAAGACAAGGACTCTACAAGACAAGAAAACTATAGTCCAATATCTCTAATGAATATAGATGTAAAAATCCCCAGTGAAATACTGGCAAATTGAATATAATAACCCATTAAGAGGATCATACATCATGATAAAGTGGAATTTATCCCTGGAATGCAGAGATGGTTCAACATACTAAAATCAATTTGTATGATACACTGCATTATCAGGATGAAGGATAAAAATTACATGATCATTTCAGTAGATGCAGAAAAAAAGCATTTGGGAAAAGTCACCATCCTTTTATGATAAAAACACACAACAAACTAGGTATAAAAGGAATGTACCTCAACATAATAAGAGCAATCTATAACCCTACAGCTGTCATCGTATTCAGTGGTGAAGGACAAAGCTTTTTCTTTAAGATCAGGTACAAGACAAGGATACCCACTCTCCATACTTCTATTCACCATAGTACTGGAAGGCAAGAAGAAGAAAGAAAAGGCATCCAAATGGGAAAAGAAGTAAAATTGTCTGTTTGCAGATGATATGATCTTATACATAGCAAAGCTTAAAGACTCCGTTAAAAAACTGTTAGAACTAATGCACAAATACAGTAAAGTTGTAGGATACAAAATCGACACTCAGAAATTGGTTGCCTTTCTATATACTAACAACAAACTGTCAGTAAAGGATATCAAGAAATATCCCACTTATAATAGCATCAAAAAATACTTGGGATAAACGTTTTGTTTTCAGCTTTATTGAGATATAATTGGTGTATAACATTGTGTAAGTTTAAGGTGTATAACCTGTTGGTTTGATACACTTATATATGGCAAAATGATTACCACCATAGCATTAGCTGACACCTCCATTGTGTCTAATAATTGCTATTTATTTTTTATGGTGAGATCATTTAAGATTTACTCTCTTAGCAACTCTAAAATATATAATACAGTATTATTAACTGTAATCACCATGCTGTACATTAGATTTCCAGAATTTGCTTCATCTAATAACTGAAAGTATACCGTTTGACTAGCATCTCCCTGTTCCCCCACCCCCTGCCACTGTTAAGCACCACTCCATTCTCTGTATGAGTTTGAATGTTTTAGATTCTGCATAAGTGATGTGATATATAGTATTTTCCTTTCTCTGTCTAACTTATTTCACTTAGCATAATGCCCTCAAGTTTCATCCACTTTCCCACAAATGACAGGATTTCCTTCTTTCTCATGGCTAAATAGTATTACTGTATGTATGTATATCACATGTCTCACACACACACACACAGACACACACACCCCCACACCCTTTATCCATTCTTCTGTTGACAGATACATAGGTTGTTTCCATATCTTGGCTATTGTGAATAATGTTACAGTGAACATGGGAATGTAGGTATCTGTTTGAGACTCTGTTTTCATTTCCTTTAAATATATACTCAGAAGTGGGATTGCTGGATCATATGATATTTCTGTTTTTAATTTATTGAGGAAACTCCATACTCTTTTCCATAGTGGCTGCACCAAGTTATATTGCTACCAACAGTGCACAAGTGTTCCCTTATTTCATTTTCCTTGCCAACATTTGTTATTTATTGTCTTTTTGATAGTAACCAATAATAACAGGTATGAGGTGATACCTCATTGTGGTTTTGATTTACATTCCCCTGATGATTAATGATGTTGAGCACCTTTTCATGTACCTGTTGGCCATTGACTGTCTTTAGGGAAATATGTATTCAGATCCTCTGTCCATTTTTTAACTGAATTTTTGGTTTTTTGTTGTTGTAGAGTTGTATGAGTTCTTTATATATTATGGATATTAACTTATCAGATATGTGATTTGCAAGTATTTTCATCCATTTGTTTGATGATTTTCTTTGCATGCAGAAGCTTTTTGGTTTGACATAGTCCTACGTGTTTATTTTTGCTTTTGGTGCATTTGATTTTGGTGTCAAACCCCAAAAATCATCACCAAGATTGATGTCAAGGAGCTTACTGCCTGTGTTTTCTTCTAGGAGTTTTATGGTTTCAGGTCTTACATTCAAACCTTTAATCTATTTTGAGTTAATTTTTGTGTATGGTATAGGATAGTCCAGTTTCATTCTTCTACAGGTGGCTTTTCAGTTCTCTCAACACCGTTTATTGAAGAGGCTCTCCTTTCTCCATTGTATATTCTTGGCCCTTTGTTATAAACTAATTGATCATATATGTATGGGTTTATTTCTGGGCTCTCTATTCTTTTCCATTGCTCTATGTCTGTTTTTATGCCAATACCACACTGTTTTTGTTACTGTGGCTTTGTAATATAGTTTGAAATCTGAGCTCTCTGTATTCCCACATTTATTGAATCATTATTCACAATAGCCAAGGTATGAAAACAGCCCTAATATCCATCAACAGATGAATGGGTAAAGAACTGGTGTATATATAAATAGTTGAATATTATTCAGCCTTAAACAAGAAGGAAATTGTACCATTTGTGGTATCATGGATGAGCCTGGAAGATACTGTGGTGATTGAGGTAAGTCAGTCACAAAAGGGTGAATACTGTGTGATTCCACTTATATGAGGTATCTAAATATCAAATTTATAGATGGAGAAAATATTATAGTGGATGCCCGAGGATGGAGGAAGAGGGGAAATAAGGAGTTGTTCAATGGATATAAAGTTACAGTTACATAAGGTGAATAAATTCTGGAGATCTGCTATATGGCATACTGCCTATAGTTAACAATGTGGTGCTGTGCACTTAAACTTGATAAGAGGGTAGATTTCATGTTGAGTGTTTTTAGCACACACACACACACACACACACAAACCCAGACTAAAGGAACAAAAGGAATCTTTTGGAGGTGGTGGATATATTTATTACCTTGATTGTGGTGGTGGTATCATGGGTGTATGTATATGCCCAGGCTCATCAAATTATATATATAAAATACGTGTGGTTTTTTGAATATCAGTTATACTTCAGTATACCTGTAAAAAAGGAAGAAAAAAAACACAGAAAATACTCTGAAGTTTTATTACTTCTATTTGCTGTATAAAGGCAAGAGTAGTGAAACATGAGGCTTAAAAGTTGGATTAAGGTCAGATTGAGGATTTTCTGTGTTCCACAAAGGAGTTTGTGATTAATTCTATAGTCCAGTGTTTATTCACTATTTTAAACCCATAACCTGATACCTCTCCCATAAACATAGTAGGTCTCCAGCTGCATTAAATGTTTTTTGAAGTATTAAAGCAATAGCTGTCATCACTAAAGACAAACCAAAGCAGTGGTAATTTTTGTATATTCTTTATCAAATACACTCTCTTGAAGTAAACTGAGATATACAGATATCCTCTGCCTCATCTTTTAGACCCTCATCACTGACTAGCTGAGGATCAGTCATCGATGATGGTGGTAGAGACCTATTAAATTTTTAAAAATAGTTGCAAGGAAATAATGTAGTTGTGTATTTTAGGAAGATAACCATTGACAGTGTAGAGGTTGCTTAGGGAAATGCGACATTTGGAATCAAGGAAGTTAGACTGTGGAAAGCCTGAATTAATTCTGTGGCCATAGAGAGGAGACGGATTGAAGAGATGTTTCAGATTTAGGATTGCCTAAATTTGGTGGTTGGACTTGGAGAGATGGCCATTAAAGATGATTCTTAAGCTTCAGGCCTAGAATTAGAATCCTTGGTGTTGATTGTTAGCCAAAATTCAGAAAACAGGAAAAGAAACAGATTTTGGTTTATTTGAACTATATTTATAGTTGTTGGGAGCTCTATTTTCATTGGCCCACTTCTAGTACAGTCGGTAGCTTACTGCTGTGTTTGGGTTCTTTGGTACTCCAGCTGAATGACTCTTCTTGTCTGGCTAGGGGTCCTACCTTAAATTCCATATCCTATCCTATCCTGGTGAAATAGGTTGGACAGTTAGAAAGCTCAAAGACTTTCTTGAATCTTAAGAAAACAAAGAAAACTTTCCTTTGTAGAAAGTTATGGAAATTTAAAAACACATATGAAAGTAGAGGGAATAATAAATGAAACACCCATAAACCTATTATTCTACTTCTACAGGTGTCAAGCATGGCCAATCTTAACTCTTCTTCACCCATTTCTTCCCAGTTATTTTAAGCAGGTTGCAGACTTCATATCATTTCAGTGAGTTTTTTGCATTTTTCTTGTGAAGGCTTAGCCATAGTCATACTTAAGTTGTCATTTTCCAGAACCTCACCTTTTTTTTTAACTATCCAGGGGCCAAAAGCCAGTGTGCAAAGAGAGAGTATGTCCAACTCCATGTAAGAAGGAGAAGGAAGGCTTTCCTTGGAATTGTTAATAATCTCTTTGTTACTCCTGCCCACAACATTTCTCCTTAGATATAGAGAAGAAAATAGATTCTTGGTCTCCCTGAAGTCTCCTATGAACTCTCGTTTACCCACTGTGTCTTCCCAGAACCGTTTGTCACTCAGGACTTAACTCCTACTTATCCTCTGTATCTAACAGTTGAGCCTCTGGATCCTAGGAACGTTGCCTCTTTAGAAGGGTGCTCACGAGAATATTGGAGAAGTCCTGCATTTTTCCTCGAAGCTCCTTTTTCCATATTTTAATTTTTGTTACTAGTGAAAGTTACACTAAAACTGATGTGATGGGAATTCATGTCCACAGAACCTTTTTGATGAATGTCTTTTCAGTGCTGTTTTCAGAAGCTGCTAGAACGCCATAGGCTATTACTTCAGTTAAGTTTATTCCAAGGTTACCTGATAAATCTTGTGAGAAAGGCACCTCTGTTCTATTTTCCCGTCTCAAACCACTTCCTACTAGTTTGATAGCATTCACTAGAAAGGATTAGACAGTGTGCTGTGCATTAGGTAGCTAATGATATTATTTCAATATCTGGATATAGTCCAGTTTCCAGTATAGTTCAAATAATTCAGTGCTAGCAGTATAAGAATATCCCTCTCAGTTTCTCGCTTCCTTAATTTTACACTATGTATTTCCTCTCCTATTTTAAAGAAAAATTATTTGTTCCCTCAGATTACTTTAGACATGTTTAAGTCCTGATACGTTCATAAGATATTTGATAATGTGGCTGTGTTGGAGGTTCCCATGACCACCCCCGTGTTTGGAGATTTGCTTGAAGGACTCACAGGATTTATCACAGTGACATAATAAGAATATAAGCCAAATACAAGGAAAAAAGACGTTAGTGGAGTGTGGCGGAATCCATCTGTGGGCTTCCTTATGCCCTCTTCTTCCTATGAAGAGTCATACAGGGAGCTGAGTTTTGGTCTTATTAAGTGTAGTGGCTCCCAGAACTTGCAGGAGTTTGCTAGTAGGCAGTTGGCAGCATGAATCTGGAACGTGTGATATCAGAGAATGTTATACTCTTTAGTCATAGGAATAGATAAGAAAGCTTAGGGAGAGCGTGTACATTCAGAAAGAGATTCAGAAAACAAATGGAGGCATTTATAAACTTTATAAAAAATAAAGAAAATACTTTTCTTTTGAGATGACAGGAAAGTATAGAGAGGTAGTTTCTATGTGTATATGTATGTATGTAAAGGTTTAATAAGTTTGAAGGTAGATAAATGGGAGAGAACTTAGGGAGTTGACATCCCTTTTTCTTTTTTTTTTTAAACATAGGTGGTAGAATCACTGACCGAGGGTGAAGGGTAGATTGTGAGCCTTGAGGAAGAAGGAGGGGAGGTGGAGGAGGAAAGTGTTTTAAAGTACTTAACTTGGGCAAAAAAGGGAGATGATAGGGCCCAATCAAGTAAAATAATTGCTGTGCAGAATGAAGGATCTGACCTTTTCCTGACTCCTGCTGCCCCCATCGTTTTTGCCTGCAGTTTGATTTCTAATAGCACACTCATCAGAAGCCTTATATTCATAGAAAAATACCTCTTTTTCTTTACTTTACTTCCCATACCTGCCAACTTTAAAAGTCAGAAAGTTCACGCAGATTGCATTCTACTGACTTATAGCTCATACCCCCTACGCAGATAAGCCTCTGGAGTCTTGAAAGGCTCCATTACTCCCTCATTGGATTCTGCTTAGCTACTTTTAGTAAAGCATTGTAGCCTTGGTGCAGGCTTTGTAGATGTTCGAGGGTTGGCTTTTTGTCTGTTTTGTTTTGTTTTTTATGTTTCACTCTTCTGTTCTAGTTTCAGATTTGTGTCTTTTCTGTAACTTGGGAATAAGAAGTAGGAAAAGCTAAATTTACTCCTTATGGTACATGGATAGTAGTTCCTCTTCATGAAGTCATTTATAATCTAATTTGTAGGAAGGTGTAATTTAAATGAAAATTATGAAGTCAAGAAGAAGAAAGTTTTGCTAACCTGCCCTGTTTTCTCCCCCCCCCCACCTTTTTTTTAAATTATAGCAAAAGTCTGGAGAAAAGCCTGTCCCAGGTATGGTTCATCTAATAATTCTTACTGAACTTGAAATAAGATCAGAAAGTCTGTTTAACTCAGTAACTATAACATTTGAGATGAATTAGGATCATTTTGCCCTTTTAGACTCTCTAATGGTAGTTTGTTACTCCTGACCTTTGAGGTCTGCTGAATTGCCAAAAGATAGTGCTTTTATGGTAGTGATATTAGTATTTTAAAAATGAATTGAAATGGGATGAACAGGTATTGATGATGTGTGGAGAAGCCAGGGTGATTTGAGGTTGTCAAAAGTGAACAAAGTTCTTTTGTTTCCTCATTGAAAATAGGTATTGCACTATCCATTGAACTGGGATAGAATAATAAAGTATCTTCTGTGAAATGTCTTGTTTAAATGTCATGTGTTTTTGTCTAGTATCACGATTTGCTCATACTAAGTTTTTGGTTGGTAAATCAGGTCTTGTACATCTGCCTGATGAAACAGCTAAATTGAGAACTTGAGATAAGCAGTTCTAAGTGAATTTGAAAGAGTCTGAACCATTCAAATTAACCATTATCTAAATTGGTCTCATCCTTCCACCCCTCCAAAAAATACCTGTTTTTGATGTCTAGTGGATCAGACAAAGAAAGAGGCAGAACCTCTACCAGAAACTGTAAAATCTGAAGAGAAGGAGACCACAAAGAATGTCCAACAGACAGTGGGCACTAAAGGCCCCCCTGAAAAACGAATGAGACTTCAGTGAGTATTGGACAAGAAAGAAACTTGCAAGAATCCTCTTGTCCACATTTTACCTCATTACTGTGACGGGCTCTTGAACTTTAAAATTCTTTGTCACAATCATTTGTATAGAATGTGCTTGTTCTTTAAGAATGGATATGGAGCCTCATGCTTTCAGTCTGGATATTTTTAATGTATCTTTTGTAACCTTTTCCCTATTGGATTTGAGCGGCTTCCTCACTCATATGTTTACTGCTGTATATGTTTAAAAGCAAAATAAAGGTATTTGTATAAATTACTTTGTCTTGACTTTTTACCCCCTTATTTTTCTGTCTGAAATATTTCCGGGTGCATTTTGTAAACAAAGGATTCATGTTAAGGTAGTAACTAAGCTTATTTTCTTTTATTAGTTGCATATTCCTCAGTATTAACAATAGTAAAGTTACTGACAATTTGAAAGATAAAGAAAAAAAAAGCCTCACTTACCAATACCACCGCCCTACAAATACCATAACAACATTGTGAATTTTCTTTTTCTGTGAGTAGACGTCTTTAAAACATAGTTTGTAATTCTTCTGTTCATATAATTTTACTTTATCATATTGTATCTGTTGTATGCACTGTTCCATGGTTACTTAGTTTTTATAGACTATTTATATTCTATTGACCCAGTAGTTCCTTTGAGTAATTTATACCTGTTCCCTTCAGCCCTCCCTGTATTATACGTGAGTTAATCCCACTCGCATTATTTAAATACGGCCGTGGGGATGACGTTTGTGCACGATGCCTCTTCAGTGCTTAGTGTAGAGTCCCAGCAGCAGAATCGCTAGGCTCTGTGTTGGTTTTTTTTTGCTCTTAGTCCATGTTGCCAAGTTGTTTTTCTCAAAAGTTTTGGGCCTGTTACTATTCTGGGAGCAAAATATGAAAATACCAAGTTCCCTAGAATCTCGCTAACACTGAGTATTGTCATTTACCTTTGTAGTGCTAATTAAGTAGCAGAAAGATGGTGCTTCATTATTATTTTTATTATTATTATATAATTTAATTATTTTTTATTTTGTGGGGGGAGGTAATTAGGTTTATTTATTTTTAGAGGAGGTACTGGGGATTGAACCCAGGACCTCATGCATGCTATGCATGTGCTCTATCACTTGAGCTATGCCCTCCCCCCCGGTGCCTCATTATTTTAAGTGGTTGAATAATTCCTCATCTTTGATTTTTGCTTTTATGAAATGTCTGATTTTCTGTATTATATGAGATTTTTAGTTTTTTATTTTGGCATAATTTCAGGCTTACAGAGAAGTCAGAATAGTACAAAGAATTCCTCCATATAAACCTTTCATGCAAATTCCCCATGTGGTAACATTTTCCATATTTTGTTCTTTAATCTCTGTCTCTCTCCTTCTTGCTGTCAGTTGCTGTCCCTGCCCCCATGTGTGTATATATATAATACACACATCTTTTATTTTGAATTGAGAGTCAGCTGCAGTCATGATGCCCATTTCCCCTAAGAACTTTAGTGTGCATTTCCTTAAATCAAGGACATTCTCTTACATAGCCTTGGTACAATTATCAAAATTAAACTGATATGATACCATTAGCTAATCTGTAGGTCTTACTCAGATCTTGCTCATGGTTCCAAGAATGTCATTTACAGCAAAATAATATCCTGAATTATACATTGGACTTTGTTGTCCTGTCTCTTTAGTCTGCTTTAATCTGGAACAGTTCTTTAATCTTCCTTTTTATCGTGAATTGATATTTAAAGAGTTTAGGCCAGTTATTTTGCTGAATGTCTCTTAGTTTAGGTTTGATATACTTTCATGATTAAATTCACCTCATGCACTTTGATCAGGAATACTGTGGGAAAGATGCTTCTGGAGGCACGTGCCATCAGTTTGTCCCGTTTAAGGTTATGTAACTTTAATCACCTGGTTAAAATAGTGTTT